CTCTCACTGTAGTGTCCTGCAGTGGCTTGGATTCAGTGGGGTTTGAGTGAATTTTTATTAAGGATATTTTTTTATTTTGCATTCACTCTGGAGAGGTATTTTACATATTCAAACATATGACATACATTTGTTTTTGTCTTACCCAGAAGTGTTGACCTTATTTTTCCTGCTTGCAGTTCCCTGTCCAGCAGAATTTTTGGTCCTGTTTTCATAGGCTTGATCTATGGCTTCTACAGAGAAGATCTGTTACCTATGCCATGATGGTAAACAGTCCCTGCTTTCCTCTGGACTTGATAAGAACAGTTTTGTGTGCCTGGGAGCACATGGCCAAGTCTGAAGACGAGTGTGGATCTGAATTTATTCTGTATACTTGAATGAGGTAGGGGTGGGGCACAGAAAGTGTTCAGATGCCAGCCATTGATGAGTTAGTCTCACAGTGCACTGGCTTCACCGAAGGCTGAGAACAGGAGGGAGGGCCCTGTATGAGTATTTGTGTAACAATCCGGGCATCCTGCTTGCTCTCTTGTTCTAAAATGGCCAGGTACTACCAATCACATCTTGAGCAACTTCATCTGTGTCCAAACGTCTCTGTTAACTCATTGATTTGGGGTACTATTTCCATTTTACAGATAAAGAGAACAGAGGTAGAGGCAAAGTCCCAGAGAAGAGGCAGCCCCTGACCAGTGGCCTGCTATGACCCCCAGATCGCTAGTTCCTCTCATGGATTTCTTTACCTGAGATGGAATCAGAAGCTTTTTAAAAGCATCTTGGGCAATTATAATTATTAGCAGGTCCCCAGACGCCCCTGCCCCATATCAAGCCATTTCCGAAGCCCTATCGCAATGGTAGCCGCTCTAGCAGCCTCCTCCTCCACGTTGAATAAAACATTTAAAACATATTTAAACGTCAATTTTGGGGAACTATGTAGCATATGGGCTTGCCTTTTGATCTCAAAATGATGACAAACAGATACTTAGATACTTCATAAAAGAAATATTACCAGAAAAAAATTATAGAAATCTGGCTTTCAGCTCCGTCATGCTCTAATTTAAACAAAATGCAACTCCATCGGGCTCCCTTCTCTGGGAATAAATTCACAACCGCAGGCTTTCTTGAGTGTTCTTCTGGCCTTGACCTGTTTGTATCTAGCGCTGGTCCTCGGTCCAAGGCTCTGAGACCCTGAGTATCTATCTGCAACTTAAGTCCTGTCCCCCAAACCCAGAACATGCACAACCACTTCTGAATTTTCAAACATCAAAGGAAAAGACCGAGCAACACAGCTCTAGACCTATGGACCGAGCTGGGCTAGGCTGAACGGGAGACCATCATCCCTTTCTAAGTCCTGCCCCTCTCACTATCCCTGCAGAGGGTCCCCTGTCTGGGCTCCAGTGTGTGCCTCTGCTGTGTCGCGCCAGGACCGCAGCAACAGGCGGGCGGCGGGGGAGGGGACATGGCGGGGACAGCCGGGCCTGGCTACGGCCCACGTCTGCTTGGAGCCCAGTGGGACGCTCTCTGCCCCCGGAGCAGGTGGCTGCCCCGTGCGGTCCGGTGTGCGCTAAGCCGGGCCAAGCAGGGCCAAGCGACCACTCTTGCAGCGGTCAAGGAAGGAGGCGAGGGCTGTAGGACCCTGGTGGGGACAGGCCAAGCAGCCGGCAGGTGGCCGGGACGAACTCCCCCCACCTCCTCCGCCAGAACGCTCTGTGGCGACAGTGGCGCCACAGTCTCTCGAGGTCACCGTCTCCCCGACCTGAAGGCTGTGATGCCTAGCATGGGGCCGATCGAGAAGGCCAGGCCAGCAGTGAGGACAGGAGGACACCGCAAGGAAGCCCCGGTAGCGCCCAAAGCCTGCCGGGCACACTCCCAGCCTTCCAGCCCTTCCCACAGGTTTTCCAGTACTCGCGGGAGCGATCCTCGCTGGTTTTGGAAAGCCGGCGCCAAGGGGCTCCGCAAACACACCCCTGCATGTTGCGTGACATACAGGACCCGGGACACGGGGAGGAGTGGGCTGGGCCTCTCTCCGGAGGTGGCCTTGGGAGTGAAGACAACGGGAGGCCACACCGCCACTCTCACAGAGCACTTACTAATCTGCCTGGGCTGGAAAGGGTGGCTGTACCCAGAGATTTGGCGTGATTTTGCCACTGCGCCCCACTTGCAAGGCGTCTGCTCACATTTGCACCCTTACCCTACCTCACTCCTGCGCCACTGCTGCCGGAGCCTGTCTTTGTACTTCTCTGACAGCAAGACAGGGTGATCACACCCAGTGGTGGTGGCGGCGCGTGTGTTGGTGTGACCATGTGTATGTGAGTGCACATTCCACTCTGTGACACCTCCAAGTACGAGGGCGAGCACCCCGTTTGTCCCCGCAGGCGTCCCTCAGCTTATCTCTGACCTAGACTCTTCCAGCTTCCCTGTTGTGTACTGAAAAAAAGACAACCGAAATCACAGCCTCTCCGAACCCTGGCCTTCCAAGCCTGGGTGGGTGGGATTGCGGATGAGCAAGAGATCTCGGGGAACAAGAGCAGCCCCACGGAAGGCGAGCGCGAGGCCTGGCGAGCGCCTCTCGCATCGCGGCGCGACCGGGCGCAGTGGCCGGGTTATGTAAGTAAGAGCCCTCCCTGCGCTCCGCACCATCTGTTAATATCTTGATATTGGAAAGTTCGGTGCCTGCGGCAAAACCAGGGCTGGCGGCGAACAGCTCTCAGCCGACTCCTTATTCCTCTAGGGCAGGGAATGCCCCTCCTCACCCCTTTGTTCGTTTCTATCCACTTCCCCACAGCAAGCTGTCGTGTGACCCCCCTCAGTCACCAACAGCCCCCTCATCATCACCCTGGGGTTGTGTTTTTCTTTGAGATCACCTTGTCGCTAACAAGTCCTTACTATGTATATGTTTGTGGCGATCCTGTGCCCTTTTACGGTGTGTGTGTAAGGGGGGGGGCTCTTTTTGTTCTGGTGGGGGAAAGGCTTTATTTTTTTTTAAAAAAATTACTTTTTCTGCCAGTCCCCCCTGGCTCCCAACTTCTTTGGACTGACTCGCTGATGTTTACTTTGAAAGCTGTTGGTTAAACAAACATCACTCGGAGGCTTCTGAGCAGTGGGGTTCCCAAGAGAGAAACGCTGCAGCTGCTACTTGCTACTGATCTGGTGGCATTTCACTTTCTCCCCCACCATTCAGAACAAATCCAGGTTGGGTTCGGCGTCTCGCTGGGCACAGGGGAGGAGAGCGTGAAAGGATGGCCGTCAACCCGCCTCTAGGCAACCTGCAGCTGGCAGGTTTGCTCTAGCCACCGCCGCCGCCGCCGCCGCCTCTTCCCTACGTTCCCCTCCTCAGGTGGGTGGTGGTGAGTGGGTGGGCTGGTGGGAGGCCACAGAGGTCCTCCAACATCCTTTTACAAAATCCACTCCCACGTTGGCTCTTCACGGAATCCGCTTGAAAACCCCAAAACAGCTCTCAGGCGCTGATGCCTGCTGCTTTGCAGGGTTTCAAATACCCTACAAACACTGCCTCCCCTACTTAGCCCCCACCTAAGGGTTTAAAGACTGAACTGGAGAGAAGAAACACCCAGAGGGAAGGTCAAGACGAAGTGTGTTTAGCCTAGAGCCCGACGCACAAATGCCTTTCTCTAACACGCAATTCACTCTCCAGAGAAACCAGCTAATGCAACCTGCATGAGGACGGCTTGTCCCAACACCCATCAGAACTTGTGCTCACTTTATATCACTAGGGCGGTGCTGGCCAAGGCTGGCAAAAGAAAGGGTTGTAAGGCTCCTAGGCTTGGCCCCTGGCTTCGCAAATGAAGCGGGTATCTAGAAGACTTCTGGTCTCCTGGCTGACTGATTGCTTCCATGCTATCAGAAAACAAACCGGGAGTCGCTCGGAGACAGGGGCCTTGGGCCTCAAGCCTTGCTCCAGCACCGCTCGCTCGGAACCCCGGGGAGCGTCGCAGCTATGGCCAGACAGCACCTGGGAGCCTGGCTTATGCGTGACCCGGATAGTTAGGGGACAAGACAGGGCTCATCCTCAGCGTTCAGAACTCGAGGTCACCATCCTAGCTCACACGCCCAGCCTGGCTAGAGATCTGTGTTTCCACGCGCAGCTCCTGCGCCCCAGTGCGGGCTGCGAACTGCTGGGGCTGAGCATGACAAGACAGGAGCCTGAGAGGCGCGAGCTGCGGGTGGGGAGTTTACTTGTCTGTCCGGAGGTTACTCTAGCGTTGACTCAGGCCTACTTTGTCCCTCCGCGAGACAGATAAAGGATTTATATTTGAAGGAGCTGGGGGAAACTTTTCCCGCCGCCAAAACCCAGGCGTGGCGTGTGCAAAACGTGCATCCGAACGCCAGGTGCAATTGACACAAACTACTCCAGAATGATCTCTCTCCCTCTACCCTTGGTGCCCCCCCCCCCCGGTTTCCTTGCCCGACCCCCTCCCTTTTAAACATCAAGCTGACAAGTGCAAACAGATTCTTCAAAAGAAAATAAAGGGACGAAAAATGAGATGGTGGCTTTGGACCATTCTCAGAACCCCAAATTCCACCCTCCTCAATCCATCCGTTTACCTCAAAGGTACACAACCAATATTCCACCCTGTCTAACGGGCACGTGAGAAGATCATTTCAGTCCCACCAGCCCGGAGTGGAGCTCTTGCCACAGGAGCCCATCTTTGAAGGTGTGAATAGTGTACTGGGCTCTGGGCAATGCTGTTTCCCTGCCTGAGATGGGGAAGGTCTCGGGGCAGTTGGAGAGGGGGTAAGACGCTGGGGATGCTCAGGTGAGTCTTTTCCGGAACATCAGCCTGGCCGATCTGATTTTTTTTTTCTCCTTCTTTTCAATGTTTGAATTCCGTGCCCACAGGGCACAGACTCTCTCTCTCTCTCTCTCTCTCTCTCTCTCTCTCTCTCTCTCTCTCTCTCTCTCTCTCTC